CGTTTCCTGCAGCCCTATAATCTGAATATTAGCCTTGTGGACCCACGAACGAAGCCTGGACCTCTTGAGTTTGTTGGAAGTATCGCCTAAACCACGTATGTTCCAAGAAGCAATACGTAGTTTAGGTGGTAGGACCATCAGGTCTCAAACTGCCACTACCTTGGATATGGCTTGGGTTCCCCTTCCCCTGCTCCTGCCCAGGATGCAGGTCTCTGATTGGGTTCATCCTGACACCCAGGTTTTTCACAGCCAACAACATCTGAGATACCTGCTCGTTAGAGAGGCGAGTAGACATTCCAACATGTTTGATCCAATCTGCAACCACTTGCCCCGTCCTCCCCAACGGAAGTAGCAAGGTAGAGATTGAATCCGACCGCTCAGATAAAGAGTCTTGTAATGGAAACCAATGAATGCGAAGATCACTCTATTTCTCAAAAGTCTCATTAACAGATTTAATACAAAAAAAAAAAAAAAAAAAAAAAAATGGGTGGAACCTTTTCTTTCATGGATAAGTACCGGTTGACCTTCATAGTAGGCAATATGGAAACCAGACCGGTGTGATTAAGAACATGCCTCTTCGTTAGTTCTAGAACTTCCTCTTCTGTCGGAGGGGTCTTGACCTGAATCGTCGGGATTTCCAACGCCTCATCCGACAGTGATTTAGTCAAAACCGTTGTGCCCAGTGGGGTGTCTGAGCAAATGAGTGGTGTGAGAAAGCTTTTCGCAGGGCCTTTGGACTTGCCAGTTTTCCCCAGCGTTTTCATCGGCCCTGCGAAAGAAAGTTGTTTACCAGCTCCTAGGTGCTGGAGGGTCCGTTTTCGAGTTTTAGAAGATTCCGGAGGAGGACTATCCATACCTTCGTTTCCCTGCCCATCAAATGAAGAACATACACCTCCCTTAAAATTTGTCTTGGTCTTCTTCGCAGGGGAACCTCCTGAGCACACTTCGTGAAAGCAGCTATTGCCTTTTTGCAATAAGCTACGACTGATCAGACGCGGAGTCTTCACCTTCAGGGGGTGGGAGGGGAGGCTGGTGCCCAACTCATATATATTATTATCGTAAATTTTGAAGGCATCTAGTGAGGAGGACACGCCATCCATTATCGATTTTCGGGGGGTATGCTCCTCATTCCAGAGGTCTTCCTGAACCACTATCTCGGTTGATAGCTCCTCCGCTTCTCCCATTTTTTCACCCAGAACCCCAAGCAGATCCCCTTCCGATTTTTCTCCACTGAGATCCATCTCCCCTTCAGCCCCCTGCTCATTCTCCTTTCGTTGATCATAGATCTCCTTTCCGACTGACTTATCACTACTATCTTTTGAAACCTCCCAATCCTCATCATCAAGAATGAAGATGCCTGTGGAGTTGGGTTTCTCCCCAGACAATGAGTCCGCATCCTGTTTTCCCAGATCCCGATGCCTTTCTGAGACATCTTTCATTTCTGAGTCTTCTGATCTCTTCTTCACCCCTTCCGAGCTCTTCTGTATTGAACGATTGCGTTTCACTACTAGGTCCTTTCCGTTCTCCTCCTCTTTCTCCTCCTCTTTCTCCTCTTCCTCTTCCTCCTCCTCCTCATCGTCTGATAATACCGTGACCTTTTCTCTCTCTTCTCAAATCTTCCCTGGGGAGATCTTACGATCGGAATGACCAGAAGGACCAGATTTTAACTTAATGTCCCTGGGCTCCAAGACCTCCTCATTTTCCCCCTGTTCCACGTCCTATCCGTGTTGACCCCGATCCTTCTCACTAGCCTTGGGCATATAGGCCTTTTTCTGGTCTCCCTTCCATACAACTATCTCCCATCCTTTCCCTATGTTTAACTGAAGATGCTTGTTTTTCTGGCAGCGGGCCTTTGTTAATCCCATCCTCCTTCTTTTTCTTCTTCTCCTTCTCCTTCTCTTTCTCCTTCCCTTTATTTTGAGGCTTCGGTGCCTGGTTCTTACCATCCTTATCCTTATGGGCCTTGTCTTTTAATTTCCAAGGTCTCTCGTTCCTCCTTGCATTCTTAGGACAGTCGGGATCATCCTCGGAACGGAAATACCTTTTGCATCGCAGACACCAAGGTGTCCCTGCACAGGCCACTTCAATATCCACTGAACCAAATTCTGAAAGATCAATTGTAAGATATGGTTTATACCGAAACCTGGCCCAAGTGGCCAAATCAAAGCGAATATTTAAGAGCTCCGGAGAACAGGGCTCTTTAAACGCCGGATACGTTTTCAGGATTGGGCCAAAAACAACTTCCACTGCTTCCTCGAGCAGCGGTAGGGCTGAAACAGGAATTTGTAGGCACCTAATCCAAAAAAATTGGAAGCGCATCGCTTCCCTTCATTCGTAGAGTTGATTATCGTTCATCCACGGTTGAAACGAAATTTCGTAGGTCTTACCATCCAACGAGATAGTATTATTGCCTTTTCTCAACATGAACGTCACAATCAGATTCGAAGACACAACGTACGTGATAAGATTACGACATTCATTGTGAAAAAGGCCTCTCCTAGGAGGCACATTGATAAGCCTACTGTTAGCCCATCCATTTTCATACGTACAAATGAGTCGTTTTTTAACGTCAATCGGAAGAGAGGTGGACTCGTCCCCAAACAACACTGTTACCGCATGTTCCTTCAACCACTCTACCTGAACTCTTAATACCTCGGAGTCCATCGTCACTTTAACGTAATCATCCCCTCTTTCCACCTTACTCGGATTCGAGGGTGGAGCCAGGTGTTTTGGTAACAATCCGTCGGTATAGCACGAGCTCAGAAAGCCCCTTATCCTTTGTTTATCCGCATCGGATAAGGGGGGGGAAGGGGGATCGGGAGGGGGGGGGGGGGGGGGGGGGGGGAGGTTGACCATTCGAAGTCGAAGCATGTTCATTGTTTGCCATGACCACTTTTCCACCACCCAAGAAATTCACTAACCCTAACCAAAATTAAACAAATCAATCAAACTCCTAACGCAAAGTCTCTGGCCAATCAAATTAAAGAAAACAAAGAGTTAACTTAGAAGAATTTTATCCTAAATAGAGATAAGCCATATAGTATTCCGAGGCATAAATATTAAGAAAAAGTCATGAGTATTCCGCCCTCTTATACCTGGACATCACCAAGTATTTGACAGAATGGCCGATCATGAAGACCTCGAGTAAAGCCGAACGTTCGTCGAGGTATATATGAATGAAGGACTTCTTCCGAAAACCCTGCCTCACCGTGGAGAGGAAACGTCTCTCATCCAGCTTCAGTTTTCAATCTGAGTAGCCTCCAGTCATCAAAAGAAAGCACCATCTCCTACACCTCCCCTTCACGACTCCTCCGAAGTCCAGGCTGCTTCCTGCCCTTTGGTCTTCCCAAAGGGAAACGCAGTACTCTACATACCACGCGGAAGCCAGAGAGCACATAACCACCTCATACGCAGTCTCAACAGGTTGTGCATCTCTCGCGTCACTGGGGGACTAGACCTAGCGCGACAGGCCATCCACGCCCTTGAAAACATCGACATTTCAACTCATGCGTTTAGCGCCAAAATTAGCGCATCGCCTTAGCGCACCTAGCCGCCACCAGCTGACCGGCCTCCTCAACTCGTGCGTTTTTCTGGGAACGGCCCTCCATCCACATTCATTACCAACCAAATAGCAAATTTTACCCCGGGTTGAATTGTGAGGTCCCCGGCCACAAACTGTTTTTTTTTTTTTTTTTTTTTTTTTTTTTTTTTTTTTTACAAGATCTTTATTTCCAGACTAAGAAAACTCATTGGAGGCCGGGGACCCCACCATTCCACCCGGTAGTTATCCCGGCAGCATCAGCCGGTTTAGCTTAACCTTTCAATCTCCTGCTTCAGACAGCAAAATACTCTTGTAACACGACTTCTAGCTTGATAACCTTAACACTCTCAGTTCATTCCTCCTCAAACGTTGCCCCGAACAAGTCCTATTGCCTACCAACCTAAGCTAGCTACAGCAAACGAACAGACCTCAGAACGGTCTGAACTCGGTCTAAAATTGACCAAGGGGAAAACCAATTTCCCTGCCTATCTACGTGACACTCACCAGCCTCCCCTACTCTTGCAGTCTACTTCAACCGCCGACTGGAACTGAGTGTCCTTGTTCTGACAGAAACCATCTCATCTGTTCTCTATCCAACTGCACAGCTCCAATTTTCCCTCTGGGTTAATCTTCGCTAACTGCTCTCTAATACACCAAGTCTTACGAAACCAATTCTCGCCCCCTGACCTATTTCCCCCCAAGACTTTCCGACTCCAGTCTGCTTTTATTGCCGCCATCAATAGAAGCTTGAATGTGGCTCCCGCCTGTCTGTCGGACATGCCTTCTTTCCGGAATCTCAAACCATTTCTTTCCAACCAGATAATCCAGAGTAGGATTGCTCTGCACACTTGGGCAATGTAACCCCACCCTTCCTCTCTGATAAAACCTTCTGGGACTCCGCCCAACAGGGCCCAGCGTTGTCCAACAAAGTCAGACAGGCAAGTAAACCGCTTCCAGTGGTATTCCCACCAGGTCCACCATTTACGGGACTTAGGACAGTCCCACCATAAATGCCTCATCGATTCAGGACCATTTTGACACCGGTCACAGGCTGTGTCTATCGCCATACCTATCTCTGTAAGCCGGACAGCAGTAGGAACCGCCAGATGGGATTGCAGCCAGAGCAAAGATGCCAAATGTCCAGATGGGATTGCAGCCAGAGCAAAGATGCCAAATGGTTATAATGCCATATCTCTGTTTTTATAAGGAAAGTACAAATGGTTATAATTAAAATTAAAAAAAAAAGCAAATTTTGAGGCCGGGGACCTCACAATTCAACCCGCTCACACTACCTACCTCTCTCAATTTCACCTCACACTACCTACCTACCACTACTCCTGAAATTGAGAGAAGAATATAGCTTAAAAAAAAAAAAAAAAAAAAACAATTCAACCCGCTGCGGAAGTTCCTGCTGCACGGATGGAGAGGGTTGGGCGTCTTTTCGTCGTGCCGTTGCCTGGCACGCGGATTGCTGCGGAAGTTCCTGGTGACTGCACGGATGGAGAGGGTTGCCATGAACGCCGTATCCTGGAGCTTGAGCACTGTTGCGATCGTCTACCCAGCCCTTGATTCATAGCTGGAGGATTCTGTAATCGGGACGGAGAGACGAGCGTGTGCAGGAACTCCGTATTGCTGCATAGCGTGTGGAAGAACTCCGTGAGCTTGATGCAGCATGATTCTTTCTTCTTGACAAGGTGAGGAAGAGAGAAATGGTACTGGATAGGTGAGTGGTGATGTTGCCTATCTGTCGCAGAGAAGAAAGAAGCGCGCGCGCGCGCGATCCCCGCGTCACGGTTGGTGTGACGTCGGTGTTACGAGGACGTGGCGGCCAGGTACCGTGGCAAATCGGCGGGGAAGTGGTTTCTCTCTTTCGCCCGCGCGCAAACATAGCACCACGGATTGTTGCTGTTTGCTTGGAGCGCGCGCCCGCGTCGGGACATGCGCGGTGAGAGAAGCGCCTAAATCTCGCGCTCAGCTCCCTCCCGATCGAGGCCACAATCCCGCCACGTTGGCGGAGTGTTTGTGGCAATCAGTGAGTCCACGTGGTGCCTAAGATTGTCTCCCCCCGCTTATTCGCCTGCGAAAATCGTCCCCCGCGTACTGAGGACTTGCCAACCTTATTAGTCGGCGTGCCCTTTCCCTTTGGCCCCTCGATGAGTACCACGTGGCGGTGCTCTCGGGAAGGATACGTCATCTGATGGCTACCAATGGCGGCGGCTAGCGTACGGGCGAGACGCGGCATATTTCGCGGCGTGCTCATCACGCTATTGATAGCGTTAAGCCCCTCCTGGGCCGCGACGCAAAGCCCCGAGCCATTGGGATCGCCGCCGGTAATTGCGGAAAGGGACGGAAGGAGAGCATGGGGGTCTGAACGGCCACAAGGAGGAGGAAGGTCGTTGGGTGACACAGATGGGCGGCGGCACGGCTCCTCCTTGGGGGAAAACTTCTCGATCCTGGGAGGGCGTGGCGTGGAGAGTCGCCGGAGGTACAGCTGGTCCCTGGCAGAAGGGGAGGAGAATAGGAAGGGAGATGGGGATAGTAAGAGGACATCAGGCAACGGCGGCGGCGGCGGTGGCGCTAATGGAATAGGGGAGACGGCAACAGGGGGGCGGCAGCAGCGACGTTTCGACCCCGAGAGGCGGTATTCGATTTGGGGACAGGAGCTCGGCGGCGGCGGCGGCGGCGGCGGAGGAAGTGCCGGCGCGGGGAGCACTCTTAAGAGCGTCGACGCGGGAAAGAGGGAGATAGGGAGAAACGAGAGAGGGGGACCGGAGGGGGGAGAACAGAGAAGCCAGGCGGCGCCTGCGCCGATGGCGGCAAACGGAACGGGAGAAGGAGATGGGCTCGCCCGCCAGCATGCGGTCGGCGCCACTGATGATTCCCCCAGCAGCGCCGCGAGCAGAGACACCAGCACCCATGCGAACTACACTACCGCCTCCACTTTACATGATGGGCATGGGGCTAGCGATGATCCGTACACCGCGGCGTTGGGGAATGGATCGACGTCCGTTCCCGCCATCATTTCTGATGAGGAGGATAATGGTCCGTGTCGGGACATTCCGAAGCACAGCGGATACGTCGACGCGTGCTCTTTCGTGAAAGCGCGGGAAAGTTGCTCGACGGGAACTTTCGTAGAATACCTGCAGTTTCATTTCTGCACGTGCGCAAGATTCCCTCTTGTGTCGTATGCAGTTATGATTCTTTGGATGATGGCGCTGTTTGTCATGCTGGGAAATACGGCCGCGGACTATTTCTGCCCATCGCTGGAACGAATCTCGGAGATTCTGCACCTGCCGCCCACCGTCGCGGGAGTCACCCTTCTTCCTTTAGGAAATGGCGCGCCGGACGTCTTCGCGAGGTGAGTGTGAGTGAGTGGTGGGAGCCTCGGTTAGTTCGATGCGATGGGGTGGATTTGGGTGGGGTAGGCGGTTGGCGGTCGAGGTGAGCGAGGTTTCTCGAGTTGTGGTCGGGCGGGATGGGATGATTCTGGATTGTCCTCGCGCGACCACCGTCTTCCCCCTGAATAGAAGGCGCGGGCATTATACCTCAAATAAGATTTCAGGGTCTGGATGCGGCGCTAATGACCGTGTGTTCTATTCGGGGGAAGACGGTAGATGCACGGATGTGGGAGGTTGGGGACGATGGAGGGTGAAAGGGCGTGTGAGTCTGGGAGGGGGATGGATGAACTCAAGGTGAATATTATTAGAAGGGGCGGGGTAGGGGGTGGGTGGTGGATGGTTAACGGTTGTGGTATATGCGTTTGAGGAGAGTGCGCAGACAGTGCATGATCGTGTGTACAGTGCGACGGACTAACTCAAGTCCGTCGATTTAGGCTCCTTCCCGTCTGCTGATTCACTTAGTTAGGTACTACGAGCCCTCTGTCCCATTCGACCTGAATGGTTCACCGGTTCCACCAAATGCT